TTAAAGGAGTTAATGACAAGAGCAGAAAAAAACGTACAATCACTCATTTTCTCCTTTTCCATGTAGTCGGGAACGGTATCGTATTCGTTTTCTTGCGGTTTTTGTGAAGTGAAGCTGTAACAAAAACGATTTTCATTGATTTTGTTGTGTCTTTCATCCTGAACTTTGACAGATTTTGGTTCGTAAACCCCTGACGCACAACGTGCCAGATGTGTCATGAGGGCTATTCGACAGACAATAGATCGAATCCTAACCACTATAATCAAGGGTGATCTGCTTTTGAGAGGGATACTTAATATGAAATGTGTTCGGATGGGAAAAACGCAGACTGACAGTGCTATGTCTACGCCATTCATCGCATCCATTCTCGAAATACTTAGGTGATGGGCAATTGCATGGAGCAACTCAAGAAATTAATCGAAAACTTTCTAGTAGTCTCTTTAGCATGATGTAAAGCCCCAACCCTCAACGAGTGGTAACCAAGTTCTGGTTACCACTCGTTACATTTGTGACATAATCTTTTGATTTGTACTGGTTCTTATGCCAATTATGTGCTTCCAGTCTTAATCACCCATTAATCCGCCTAATCGCCAGTCTAGTCCATCGTATGGTATGCAATTTCAGGGAACAATTTGGAGCATCGAAAGCTAACCCCATGGTGGCATTTGCATGCAGTGTAGCCCTCCTCGCCTGGCTAGGGTGGTATGGTGGATCTCTCTTGAATCTGGAAGCCTTTGTTAAGTTCAGCGTGGCTGGGAATTTTAAAGATGCATGCAAAAGTTGAGCATTCTGCCCGCACATGCACCGAACAGTCCCATAAAATCGGCCACACATCGGAAACTGGATCTTTTTGAAGTTCTGTTTCATTTCAAATTGGAAGCAATCGAAAATGAAGGGAAACTTAATATGAATTCTCTGAACTCTACACGGAGAGAAAGAGCACCGCAAAGGATAAACTAAAAATTACCGCGATCTCAAAAAAAAACATGAAATTTTGGAATGCAAAACGAAAATGGCAAGAACGTATTGAAACTTGGAAATCGACTTCACTGTTAACATGTTCATGCAAGCGCATTTATTTCATCAGCAAAGGGGCATAAGAATGGAGAGCAGCTTACTTACTAACTTATTAGCCAGTGGTGCACATTAATGAAACTCTTGCTACTACTTACTTACCTTCTCTGCTGAGTACCGGACGTGGAACAGGCTGTACTCGGTACTTACAAGGAAGGCCTCTGATAGTGTGCCAAGCTTTCTCAAAACGGTCTTTTGCATGACATAGAGGCACATGCGGGGAATTTTTTATGCAGAGAAAAAGGAAAAATGAACCATGCTTCTGTGGTCCCCATATGTGCCCCAATGTCATGCAAGAAACCATTTTGAAAAAGCTTGGCACACCCTGAACGACCCCCCCCCCCTTGTTAGTGTTAGTGCCACTTCCTAACTTGTGAGAGAGTTTACAAGCGTTTCCGTTTTTCACTCTCATTACATACATATATGTATGTGTAAATATTAATGGTGAATCGAGAATCGGAAAGATGGCTGAATTAAAGGCTTTCTATTTCGGTGAAATACTTCCTTACACGACTGATTTTCCAATACCTTAAAGATATAAACTATGATATCGCTTTGCCAAAGAACCCTTTCAAGATGCGCCATGCATTTGACTTCGGTTCAAGATCTTATGTTTTGAGAAATGACACTTTGCTTTTACACTTGACTGAGCGGTTAGTCGATGAACTTGAGTGTTTTCTACTTCAAGCGAGGGCCGGCACCGCTGCAGGTGGCCTTGATGGCCTATATGAGATTCGATTTTGGATTTAATTCGTGGATCATTTGCATGGTAGTGGCGTTAGTTGGCAATGTTCGATATCATCCAATCCAAGAGAACCAATAAATGAAGAACCAGATAAAAGATAACAAAAATACTTACCTCGTACTTGGTTGAAACATGACCCGACTTTTCTGCAACTGTGTGCTAATTAATTGACTCATATTCGTTGTTGATTTGGTCGAGTCCCTGAAAGTGTAAGAGTATCTCGAGGCTATTAGGGAATGATCGAAAGAGTGTAGGAGTGTAGAGGAAATTCAACACCGTCTAAGTGGTTTCTCCTTATACTGCCTAAGTACCACCAAACAGTGGACTCCCATCAAATGGGATACGTCGTCTAGAATTTCGTTCTTCGGAATTCAAGAGGGCTATAATTGGTTTTGGAAGAGCACCTAATGTTGTTATTGCAAAAGTCAGATAAAAAAGTACATTTGGAATAAATGAAGTGTTGGATGAGGCCGGGCCGTTTGACCAGCGCATAAATGGGTCATCACCTCATTAAGTAAGGACTTTTTTTGATCATCAAGCAATTTTTCTGGGCACCATGTTACGCATTTTAGGGCAACACAGAGAGAGGCTAACTTAGGGTGAGAAAAGAATGAAGATGGATGCGACGTGCTGAATGAGAGGATGGGAATGGTTCTGAAGGTGATGACAAGATGATGATAAGCTGTCATATAGAAAGGAATCCTATATCCTAATAAAAGATCCATTAATTGATCATTCTCTGAGCCACACAACTGTACAATAGAGTCAGAAAAAAACTACTGAGGAGCAAAAATGGATGAATAAAGGCAACCAACTACTGTGGGCTATTTGTCGAGCGGGATTAGCCGAAAAAATGTCCGGGCAGCGAAGTTTTAAGGTTGCTTTGAAATGAACGAATTGGTCCGACACAAATTCTAGGAAGCGAGAAAGTAGCGTGATCGCGAATGCTCACAGTTGATTTGAAAAAAAAAAAACTCTATTTCAAACAGGAGCTTCAATTTTAGCAGGAAAGGTGACCTCGTGTGAAGGACGATTGATCAAAATTTGTACCGTCGCCAAGAGGAGAGTAAAATAAAACTTAAATAAGCGGGTAGTATCGGAAGAGCTGTAGTGAGTCTTTTCAGAGGGACAAACCAAAAAAATCTCTGACATGTGAAACAAATGAGAACAGGTTGGGGTTAGGGCAGCGCAATATGAATCCTGGCCCTTGTATATGTACCCTCTATTTCGAAGAGCGAGAAGAGCGTCGAGTACAGAACACCATCACAAGTGAGACTGAGAAGAAAAAAGTGGGTTTTTCTCATCTTTACTCTTGGCCGTCGTCATTCGTGGTGTGTGGTCTGCACTCGACGCTCTGTTTCTTCGTTTTTCGAAATACAGTATGCATATACTGGACCCCACCCATTTATCTAGAGAGTCAACTTGCGCTAAACAGTGGAAAACAATGACCTAGAAACAGATTGAATAACCAGAATGTGCCAGCAAGTCCTTGATACCTCTGATCAAGTTCTTTGACCATGGCGAGGTTAGTTGGGGTTAACCGCGATAACCGCCATACAAAGTAAATAGTAAAAAAGGATCCACATACCCTCGGATAACTTGTCGATCTAGACGTGTAACATTGCCAGGAGGATAAGATGGATCGTCGTTCTGTGATGCTAATGGTCGAAATGCCACTGGTCGAATCAGGCCGTCAGTCTGAAAATCAGATTTTTTTTCCACAAAAATTGGGATATTTCCCCGAAATCTTGATTAGACTTGAGGTCCACATTTTCTATGCGGCATACTCGCTAATTATCTCCTATGCAATAATACAGTATAGTTGAGGAAAAAGAGGTGCTAAGCGCGGTGCGCCGCCGCGGCATCACAACGACCACGAAGACGGTCACCTAGATCTCATGTCGATGTTTTTTTCGCCTTCAAACGTTCAGATCCAGCGATACGATAGAGAGCGTTATCGTCAACAGCACATCGATTCACATGCACAACTATTCACGAACTCTTTCAGAACCCATGTGGTTCGGAGAAATTTTGACAAGGCAAAACCATTGCGAAATGCTGCGGGCAAGCAGGCATCAGACTCGCATCTGGATATAAAGAAGGTTGAAGCACTTTCGTAACTAAAAGAAGACTGGGAGCGGAATTTTAAATTCAAACCGATAACAACTTTGATAGCGCAAAGATAGACCACGGCGCTGTTTAGTACGACTGAATGACCTGAGTGAGGGTTTTCTCCTTTGGCGTGCGCACAATCGTGCCTGTATCTCCTAACAAAGAAGGACGCGCACCTGAGCGAGCGCTTGATTTTCGCGGGCAATTGCGGCACTGAATTCAGGGTCAACCGGGTTTGTTTGCAAATTCGGGAAATGGAAGTCCCATTTAGGCGCGATAACTCACCGCGGGCTTCACACCAGAGAACGGCAGGATTCGTGGTGGCGGATTGTCGAAGTTGTTTTTCGTGTAGCCTGAAAAACATTTATCGGACTCGGAACTATAGCTGTAGCTCACTCCGAAGAGCGTTACTTGGGTTGAATATCCGATATTCGATACAAAGATGGTTCAAATACGTAAAAAAATCTTGAATTGATCATACACATACATACATATGCACACAAGTTTTGACGCCATTCAGTTATAAAAAACGAAAACTATGGTAACTAACAAAAAACCACATGATGGTCCGAACAGGGGGTTCAAATTCCTTAAAATCGAATGGTTCCGTGAAATCTTAGTAAATGATAATCGCAGCTCTACGAAAATGAAAATTTTTCTCAGGGAATTTTTCTTTTATGCCAAGTGTTTTAATGAAGGGCTTCTGCAACTGTTTACGAGTACTTTTCAAAATAACTTGCGAGAAGAATTACTGCAGCAAGGTTGCATGACAGTCATCCTCCCTTTCAAAAACGAGAAAAGCGTCGGGTGCAGACCATACACCACAAGTGACGACGGCCTCCACAAAATGTAAATGTTTTCTGCCAATGAAATGATTAGCCTGTTGCAGTTGTATTCTATCAGTTGTCACTAATTACAACTATCATTTACCAAAAATCAGCTATCACTATGAACCACTACTAACCAGATTTACTTGGAGGCCGTCGTCACTTGTGGTGTATGGTCTGCACCC